CGACCTCACCGCGCCCGAGCTTCTCGGTGTCCAAGCCTCGCATCGAAGGGGCGCAAGCGGCATCCGAACGCCCAGACGCCCTCGCATGCAAGGCTCTCATCATGTACGCTCCGACACTTGGCGCAGCGGCGGCTGCACCCTGCGCTACCGCATATCTCATGCCCTTGGTGCCCCGCCTGGGCACAGAATGCAAGGGCTGGAGCGCATCGATTTCCCATCCGCCTGCGCAGCCCTTTTCGTCCTCGAGGCCCGAGCCAGGACAGACTTGGAGGGAAAAGAAAGAGGCATGCTGCCCCGTATCTTGTGTGTGCTTTCAAGAGTGGTGAAAATGGCCCCCGTTTGTGCGTCTAGGAATACAGAGAGTGAAGAAAAGAAGGGGTGGGAGTGTGCCGAGTGGGATCTGCAGGCGCGCGAGGCGGTGAGAGGGTTCTGAGCTGGCAGGAACGCCCTCGTCGTGCATTCTCGGCGCAGCAATGCTCCTTCTCGACAGGGTGCGAGTAGACTTGGCGTTGGCGCTACGCAATCGACGAGGGAGGAGGGGGGGAGGGAGGTCAGACGGACGTGTGTCACGCTGTGGCCTCATGCCAACGACGTAGGAGCCGCGCCGAGGCCGCGCTTGAAGAGGGCCTGTCGCACGTCTCCCAAGCCCTCGAGGTTGCCCTGCGCCACCACCGTCGCCTGACCGCTGCCGAGGCCAAAGTTGAGCGGCTTGGCATGGACGCCGGCGACCTGCTTGCTGGGGCGCAGCACGCGGTTGGCCACGCGATGCAGGCGCGCCAGGTCCACCTCGTCGATGCGCGCGCACATTTCCTCGACGCTAATCTTGTGGCCGTGCACCTGCACCTGGCGGCCCAGATCCTCCACCTCAACAAGGCGCGACTCGAGCGCCATGACGAGACTGCTCTTCAGCTGGTTGCGCGCGCGCGCCAACTCCGCAGTGGTGATTGCGCCGCGCAGATGCGGGCTCGTGCAGAGCTCCAGCTGCGTGGCAATGAGATTGCCAATGCTGCCGTTGAACGACGGCGAGACGCTGGCGGCAATGCCAAAGAGGCCGCTGTCGGCGTAGCAGTGATGGAAGGCGGCGCAGTAGTCGACGGCGTGGTACTGGTTCAGCACGTTGGTGTAGAGGCGACTGTACATGCCCTTGCCCGGCCCGCCGGCACTGAAGCTGCCGCCGCCGCCAAGCAGCATCTGCAGCGTGGCCAGCGCGTAGATGTCGTCGTCGTGAATCGAGAGACCCTCAAAGGCCACGTAGACGTGCGTGAACTCGAGATCGGGATGCGACTCGTAGCGCTCGCCTCCTGTATACCGCGCGCGTTGCGCGGCGAGCTCGGGCCGTGCGGCCAAGGGCGTGACGCTGGCATGCTGGGCGGCCGCCTTGGCAGCGGTGGAAAAGTCGGCTGCGGGAGGGGCAGTGGAGGCGGAAGAAGAGGCCGTCGAGGGACGCGAGAAGAGAGAGGACTGACTCGAGGAGCGCGAGGAGGAGCTGCCAGTCGTCGACGCACGACCTTCCAGTGCAGCAGCAACGGAGGAGGCCTCGAGGGCAGGCCGCGCCTGCAGACCTCCAAAGTACTTCTCCGCCAGCTGCACGAGCTGCTCGTGCGGCATGCCGGCGCCCGCCACGACGATGCGCTCGGGCGTGTACCACGAGTGCATAAAGTCGCGCAGATTCTCGGCCGTCATCTCCTCGAGACTGTCGAGGGGACAGAGGAGCGCGTTGCCGAGCGTGTTGTGCTGGAAGGCCACCGTGTGCAGCAGTTCGGGCAGGTACATGTCGGGCTTGTTGTTGATCTCTTGGATCTCCCACGCCGTCGCGTCGCGCTGCGCATCCAGCTCCTCCTCGAGCAGCGCAGGATGCAGAATCGTGTCGGCAAGGACGGACATGACGGCTCCCACATCCTGGTTGAAGACGGACGACTGATACATGATCGTCTCGCGCGACGACGAACACATGACGTTGCCGCCCAGCGCCTCAATCTCCGCCGTCAGCTCCTCGGCGGAGCGGTTCTTTGTGCTCTGCGCGGACAGGTGTGTGAGCCGGTGCGTTTCGCAGAGGCGTGCATCAGAGGTGCCTCGCCCCAAGTCACGGCGAGGCTGCGCCACGAGGGGCTGCAGCATGCAGCTCCATGCCCGCGACACATGCCTGAAGCAGTCTTCGGTCTGCCCTCTCCCGATGCGTTGTCCGCGGGTGAGACTCACCTTGAACGCCATGCGGTCCAGCAAATGGCTCACGCCGCTCTCGCCCCGGACGTCTGGCCGCTCGTACCTGCTGCCGGCGTCAATGTAGACACCGACGGCGGAGAAGTGTCCGGGCGTCGCCTCGGTCGCGACGCGCACGCGGTTCGGCAGCGTCGAGACGGTGATGAGGCCGCTGCTCTGCGTGCCGGCCGCCTTTGCGACGGCCGCGTCGAGGCTGGAGTAGGCGCGCGGCGAGACGAGCGCGGCACTGCGCGCCAGAGGCGAGATGCGCCGTGGTTGTGGCAGGCGCCGAGAGAGGAGAGAGGAGGAAGAGGAAGAGGAGGAGGAGGAGGAGGAGGAGGCAGCGTGGGCGGTGGCGGCACTCAGCACGCGCGCGGCCAGCGTGGGCGACAGGGAGGCGCCGCGCGAGGCGGCGGCCAGCGGTGGAGGCAGCTTCATCGCGCTGGCAGCAGGCGGAGGAGGCGCGGCTTGACGCTGCCGGGAGCGCGAGGTGTGAGAGAGGAGTAGGAGGTGCGGCGGCGTGTGCGAGAGCGCTGGCGTTTGGACGGACGGTGCAGAGGCGGACGAGTCTGAGTGGAGTGGAGTGAGAAGTGCGCAGCGAAGGGCGCAGGGGCTCGGCGTCCTGGCGCAGCGCCGCGCGGCGCGGCGGCAGCGGGCCGAGCCGGCGGCCCAGAAGCATCGCTCGACGGCTGACATAAGCAGCCGCCGCGCCGCACTGCGTCTCAGCCACCGACGGCGCCGCTGCCTCTCGCTGCTCTCCCTCCACCCTCGGTTGCCCATCATGGCGGTGAGCTCCTTGCAGACAATGCTGCGATGCTGCGCTGCTGCTGCTGCTCACCTCCACGCGCCAGTCCGACCTGCGCTACACGGCCAACACGCAGCTCGAGCACCGTGAGCCTTTGTCCCGCGCTTCTTGTGCTTTCGTCTGCCTCACACATTGCAACCCCCGCCCCCCACAGTGCACGCTCGCTACACCGGCACCATCCACCCGGACATCACCAAGTTGTGCGTGCACCTCTTGCCGCATCCTACGCGCTGCATTGGCATGAGACTGACATAGGGCGCGCGTGGCACACACACACACAGCGACTGGCTGTCGCACCAGCACCGCGACACGGCCGCCTCCATCATTGGCCACCCCGCGCTGCACTCCTACCTCGCCCTCGCCGACGGCGAGAGCAAGGCGCGCGTCAAGTTTGAGCTGTGCGAGGTGAGTTGCGCTCTTCTTGGTCGCGGGCGCGATGGGGGGGGGGG